TCTGGCATGCAGGTTTTTTTGTGTGACTTGGGATAAGATATCTAGTCATACTCTTGTCTCTTACACACAGTCCATTCGGCACAATACACAGATACCAGACGGTCATGCTAAACAACACTGACAACAATGTCACCTGGTTGTGTCACACAACTATTTGTGGTGCCTACCACTGACTGCACCAAAGATAGATGTCAATGACACTGGGATTTCCTAATTTGTCTAGTTTGTCCAATGGCCTGTTCAGGACATGAGAAGTGGGACAATACTAAAATTTGATCTTTCAGTTCCTGTATACAAGCATAAATAAAAACACCTGTAGCATTTGCACAGCTTATGATTCATAGATGTTTTGCATATTTTACTAAAGTTTCACTAAAATGCTCTCCAATATTAAACATAGCTTCAGTAACCTGTATGATAAACATCTACTCCATTTTGGGAAAAAGTGACTGCAGATGGACAATCCTCCTATTACATTGTATGACTCTATTGGCTGGTTAGAGCAGAAGTAATGTCCCTACTTTAGAACTGTTTTGAATCCCAGTCAGACCACCTCACCATTATTTGTGCCCTTTGGCAAGACACTTGACAATATATATCCCCTATCTCAAATCCTCATAAATTGCAAGCTCTATTTTGCCCAGAACCCCCCTCCCCCACCCAAATGCTCCTGTCCCACAGTGCTCTCACACTGTTCTAAGGGCACTTAATGCTCTGCCCTGTGTTTTGTGTTTTATGTCTTGTACCCAGGGACCTTTCTAAATGAGGTGATCATAATAATATGGAATATGTTACTTCCAACACACATTGATTAGACTGCATTTAAGTTAAAGGGTTACTTAAACCACCATAACTGAGTAACCCTGTAATTTAAATGCATGTCTAATCACTGCTTTTAAATTAAATAGTTGATTTTATAAGTGGTCATGGTGGTAGGACTCCATTGTGCTGCAAACACTGCACATACGGCAAAATGTCAATTACGTACATAGGGGAAGCCTGGGTGTCCCCTCCCTGCCTCCAGCCTTGATGCCCCCTTCCTGCCTCCCTTCTTGTGTGCAGCCATCTTGCCTACCAAATCAATGCAGTTTCTAAAAAATGATTAAATGGTCCAATCAAAGACTTCTCTATCATGGCCGCCGTGATGTCAGGAGAGAGTGTGGAAAGGGACGCTTTGCCTAGAGCTGGATTCTAGGTAAATAATACTTTTTAAAATATATATATATATATATGTATATATATATATTTATAGTTTCATATATTTAAATAGAAGGGGTGTGTGGGCCTAAGAAGCCAAAAGGGCATTATTCATTAAAAAAAATGCATTAAAAGGGTTGGAGTAATGAAGCCATTTCCAACTAGTTTTAGGGACTATTACAAAACTGACTAGATGTTTCTTATACAACATAATAATCAGAAAAGTAGCAGATGGAAAACTCTAGTAAATAAATCCCGAAAAAGAAAACACACCTGCAATCTTGAGGAGCTAAAACACAGAGACTCAAGGTCAATCCCCAAAAGTGACCAAGCATGGGATTAATTTATGTGTTATGAGACATGGCTTAGCTCCAACAAAGTAACACATTCAGAGAACTCTCTCTATATGTACAGATGATAGCCAAACTTACAGAATGTCTACATGCAAAAAGAATATTATCTTCATCATAAATAAAACAAACATTTACAATCCAGCTTGACTTGATTTAACTAACAGAGGACACACATTACAGGGGCATCATCAGGCATTAAAAATCAAAGAAAAAAAATCCAATGAAAGCTCATCGATTACTTGTAAAATATTCCCATTCTAAAAGTTTAAAGTGCTGCGGAATATGTTGACATTATAAAAATAATAATTGATAGTAATACTTAATTAAACTTTTCTTTTCTTGGTGCTTTTCTGTGTTTCTGCAGGTTTTTTTTTAATTCCATGATGCCTTGGGGTCATAAATGTCTGCTTGGGCATCATGGGAAAATTGTGTATATGTGAATGTACATTCAGAATTTGTTCCCAGTAATGCAGTATGCATAGGAGTGCACAGCATATTTAATTAGAAATTCTTTCCATATGTTATTTTTCATTTTAAATAAAGAGAATATTAATTAAAAGGATGTGTGTGTGGGGGGGGAGGGCTAGTGAATGTAAGTCTTGTAGCTGTGTGTGAGGTGTGTTGTGTCTGTCGTTGTGTGATGTATGGATAGGTTAGAGTAATGGGTGTGACTGTGTTTGTATCTGCGAGAGATATGTTTGGGTAGCTGTGAGTGATGTATGCATAGCTGTGGCTAATGTGTGGGTGTCTGTGGCTGACGTGTTTATCGCTGTGATTGATGTATAGGGTAACTGTGTGTTAGTAGCAGTGAGTAAAGTATATGGGTAGCTGTGAGTTATGTGGGTTGCTGTCTATTGGTAGCCATGAGAGAGGTGTGTGGCTTTGTGTGGTAGCGGTCAGGCCCAGGTTGGGAGAAATTTTTAAAAGAGACTTAGACGTTTCAAGGCATACCTAAATACAGACACAAATGTTAACACACTCATGCATATCTACATCAAGACACACACAAATACATATTGTCACAGAAACATATTCATATGCATGCAGCCACACTCACTGTTACAAACGCAGATATAATAATACACACATTCTGTCAAATATGCAGACCCATTCACAGATACATGTAGGAATACGAGAGGGGGTTGCAAGTTGCACTTTCCATGAGCTTCACAATGAAAAAGGAAAATTAGCTTCCAACCGTTATCCTCTATAGACCGACGAGCTCAGAATTATGCCTACTTGCAAGATATTCTATCCTTCTTTCCTGTTCCATGTCAACCATCCTAGACCTCCCTCTAAAGTAACTTTGCCTTTATGGAGTCTCACTCCCATGTGGTCCTGGTGATGCTGGCATTGCATTACAGAGGGAAGACTGCAATCCATCTATGAGCACAACAGACTCTTAACACTTTTGCCCATGCATGGGGGTGAGGGAAGGAAGAAAGGGACAAGGCAGAAGCAAGCTTTGCTTATTGCTGGACCTGCAAACCTCTCCCAGTATTGAAAACTAAAGGGAGAGGACATGAGGCAGTAAGCAGTGGCCCTAGCCCTGGTGCTTTGAGGTGTCCTTGCAACTCAGGCAAGTAAAAACTAAGCTTGGGTCTGGGTAGTAAACCACACCCATGTAAAGACCACCAGTTAACTGGTCCGATCAGAGAGGTCTACCGATCCCTCTGTCAGCTTGTGCAGTTACATTATGGTGTGCCTGGACACACCCAGCACAAACTGTGCGCACGCATATGCAGTATGCATTCATTTGTGTGCATACGCCACTGGGAGAATTAAGTAATTAACATACTTAATCTGGCCTTGGCCAGCAACGTTTGTGAGTTAACATCATACCAAATACATAAAAATGTTAAAACCTTAGCACAAACAGTAGCCAACGTTTACAGGATTATTCACTAAAGTGATAATGCAAAGTGAATTTAAGTTTTAAAATTAAATGAGCAGTTTTGCTATTTTGACTTTTAATTTGAAATTCACTTTGCATTATCACTGTAGTGTATTACCCTGTCAGATAACTATTTGGTTGTGCTAAAAGTGAAGTGTAATTGAGTGTTCCCTCATTTTCACTTTATAAAAGTGACAATTTCAAGAAAAATCTGCACTTTTCTAAAGTGTCTAGGTTGCACCCTCACAGTTGTTAATCAGATAGCCGTGAAGGTGTTCTTTCTTTGTGAGTGAGGGCTTCTTATTAAGAAACAATGATTGCAATGCTTCTCTACGATCAGAATTGCAGGTGAACTTACCACACATATGCCTTGCATTGTAACGCATCTCTTAAGAGCAGTGTTCAGTTAGCTTCAAGATCAATACCTGATTTTATTAAGACACAGAGGCTCCTATTATGCTGCACTCTTTCTTTATTTCCTTCAGCAGCAAAGAAATATAACATAAAAAAATCAAACAACATATATATAACGTTAGAGGTCAATCTTCTTAGTAACCGGAACAGCCAATCAGCATCCAGTCCTTGGCGTAATATGTGGTAACAATTAAATCACTTCCTCTTTCTTTGCTGGTCCCTCAGTTAAGTACACCGCTCCCATAGTTTCTTAACTGTGGGTTAGTTATATACTACTGTTTATATATTATCGTTGTGATTTATTATGATTTTATCTAATTATTATTTCATTGTTATTTTTATTATTTGTATATTGCTATTATCATGTTTTATATTTATTCAGTCTTGTTAATTTTAATTGTGTAATTTGTTACTATGCCTTTTTTCTTTGCCCCTGATCCCTTTAATTAAAACCTTTTGGGGACTGATGGGTTCTCCTCTAATTACTCGGTTTTATATTTTAACCTTTTGGTTGTTTGCCTCGGTTCGCATGTTTTTGCCCCAATCAGCGAATTGTGCATGTGCACAATTCGGTACTTTTGGCCGTTCGTTTAGTCTATTGTACTTTAACAGGATTTTGATGCGAACGACTGTTTGTATGCATTTGTTTCACGAAAATGTCACAGTTTGATGAAATTTTGCGCCCTTTTCCCCAATAGCCTTGCCTCTTCCTGTCTAAACCTTGTTGGTGTTTAGCAGCTTTGGTGAATGGACGGATCTTGTTCTCTCTCTGCATTATTTCTATAACTGTGAGTTGATTTTCAGCATTTTCTTTCCTTGTGGGTTAATCAACCTTATATTTAGGTTTCTTTTTTTAATTACCACTATTACTACACAATATTTATTATGCAGTCTGACAGGGATTTTCCCATGATCTCTGGGTCGCATGCGACCCCTCAGATTCCCCACAATGACGCCGCTGGGGAAGGGGTTTTCTCCCTTGAATTTCCTGCATCTGCAGACATGCAGGAGCTTTTGTGACGCTTCAATGTCCAGATCTATGACCCAAGCTCTGATGTCTGCTATGGGCGTGATGTCGACCTCTTTGTCGCAAACCATCCCTCAGACCCTTTAGCAGGCCCAACAGTCAGCTCAGCAGACTCATGTTGACTGCATTGATACAGGCACCTGTCCCACAAGGCTGTAAAGCTATTTTGACAGACAGCTTTCCTGCTGTCATGGATGGCGCGCAAATACCACTGCGCAAAAGAGCCACTAGCCGGGCAAAATCGGCTAGACTAAGGAAGCGGGCAAAAGCCCAGCGTGATTCATCTGAGTTTGAGTTCAGCGACATCAAGAAGGAGAGCAATGAGTCCATAATGGATGCCTCAGACTACCAGTCTAAACCAGATTCTGATAGTGTAGGGGGAGAGGAAATGGCCTCCTCTTACAGCATGTTCCCCGCTATGGTTTCTGGCAACCATTAAATTTTTTTGGATCCTCTGGGTTTACCCGTTTGATCCAGAGGAATTAAGACATCCGTGTTCAGTGGAGTGGTGCCCTTCTGAACATGTGGCAAGATAGATCACCTCTAGAGTATGTAAGCCCTTGGACAAGGCCACATGGAACAATTTACGGGAAAAATGCCCTTGCCCTACTGTCCCTGATGATGCATGTAAAATGCCAATTGTAAATCCAAAAATTGTTCAGTTTTGGGGGACAACTGGATGGAAACCCAGAAAGGGTTTGGATTTCTCATTGACCCACTGTCAGGATAAGGTCCTGAACATTTTAGGCCCTGCTGTCAAAAGATTTGATGCGGTCGAAGACGACTGGGATTTGGATTGAGACACCATCCATGGTTGGATCCAATTAATTATCTGCCTGGTTGTCAATGTAAATGCTGCACTGGCTACTGAGCGCCACAAGTCCATCTTGCTAAAAATTGAACATAAGCTGGTCAATTTAGCTCTTAATGAGCCAGGTGCTTTTCAGTGACTCTTTTGTTAAAGAGTTGGGGTCATTTGTACACACTTTTATGGCTTTGGATAAAGCTAAAAGTAAATGATGAAAATGTTTAACCTAAATTTTATTGCTGGGGATGGAAAAGGAAGGAGCCTTCTGTCCGGCTGTATACAAAGAGGTTCTTACAGACAGAACCAAGGCTCCTATTCAGGGCGAACTGGGTTCCAAGAACACACCAGCATTCTTCCAAAAAGGGCAGACTCTGGGTCGCTAGGGACATTCAAAGAGCTCCTTCTGGAAGTTGACCTTATGGTAAGTGTCAACACTCCCCCCCCTTTTTCCCTTCTGGTAGTGGGGGGCAGACGAATGCATTTTTCTCATGTGTGGTCGCATCTGAAATCAGATGCTTGGGTCCTTCACGCCGTGACGGGCTATCAAATAGATTTTGTGTCACACCCAGTCCAAACCTTCCCCTCCAGGGAAATAGTTTTTTTCCCCATCAAGATGCTCTCCTTGTATCCAAGGAGATTCAAGAACTGATGCGCAAACAAGCCATCACAGAGATTCCAACCCATACCCCGAGTTATGTCAGCAATCTCTTCCTGGTTCCCAGAAAAGGTGGAGGGGTGAGACCAATCATAAACCTAAAACAACTAAACAGTTATGTGTCCTACCACCATTTTAAGATGGAAGGTGTACATTGTCTTCGCGACTTACTGCAACCAGCCAATTGAATGGCCAAATTAGATTCACAGGACACTTACCTCACGGTCCCTTTAACAGAACATCAAAATTTTCTCCAGTTCATGTGGCAAGGCCAAAAATTGAGATTCTGGTGTCTCCTGTTTGGACTGTTTTTGGCCCGTGGTGCTTCACCTAGATCATGAAACCCGTGGTTGTCCTTTTAAGTAGTCGAGGCATTCGGCTTATCATCTACATGGATGATACCCTCATTTTAGCTCAGTCAGCTTTCCATCCAAGCCATATTCCCGGGCCTCCATTATTGGGCACTTCAACGACTACAAGCCTCTTACCCCAGAGGCAGAGCGTCATACAAAGACATGGTGACGTTAGACAAGGAAACGAAGGACGAGCTTCATTGGTGGCTTCTCCACATGGAAGCCTGGAATGGACGCGCTATCTTCGGAATGGCCCCAGACCTGGGAAAGCATTCCACACGGTTAACCTTTACCATTCTGTGCTTTCCACCGGACATCTATGCAATGATTTTCCGGTCCTCCTTTACCTCGCTATTATTCTCTCTGGGATGTTTCTCTTGTCCTCAACTTTCTGGAGTCATGGCCAAACAATGGATTACTATCCCTCAAACAATTCTCTGCTAAATTAGTCATGCTCTTTTGTCTAATCTCATGCAAAAGAGTCTCTGATGTGCGTGCTCTTGATACGGACGGTCGTTCATTTACTTTGGAAAGTGTTCTTTTTGACATCTCTAGAAGGACCAAGACCTCTTCCAAGTCTGTTATTTAACCGGCTTTTCCAGAGAGACCTCTCATTTGCCCTGTGGCATTTTTACAGGAATATGTAAGTTGTTCTGTTTCTTTACAGAATCCTCTGAAACAACAATTGTTCATCTCCTTCCGCAAGACACACCTTCCAGTACTCTCTCCTTCACTGGCCCGATGGATCAAATGGATTATGACTCTAGTCGACATCGATACTTCCACATTCTCTCCCAATTCGGTGCGTGGTGCTATGGCTTTTAAAGCTTCGGCAGCCGGCTGCAGTTTAGAGGATATTTTGTGAACTGCCGACTGGACATCTGAATCTACATTTCGAGATTTATATTTCAAAACGATTCAACATTTTGCAGGAACGGTCATTTCACAGCTTTAACCTAGCATAATAGGAGCCTCCGTGTCTTAAAAAATTACCAGATTTTACTATTTCATGACGTAAAGTCATGATTTTATTAGTGACACGGAGGTGAGTATTATCCCTACTGCCATTCCCAGATGTCATACTGGCTGGGTAAGTTGTTGCTTCACAGTAAGTCTCAATGATGCATGTTAAGTTTATACAGGTTCTATCCTATCTGGGTTAATCGTTTACAAATGTTTTGAATACTATTTTATGATATATATTATGATTGATGTATATTTTGGGGTAAATTACGATGCATACATCCAGTTACAGCTTGGATATTACCATATTTTTTCTATCTTACAGCTTTACTTCAAGGTCACGTTGGGGATTCTGTACTGACTGCATGTTGTGGATTTGTTTTCTTCATGGTTCTGGATGTTCTGTTTCTCTTCGGGATTGCAAGAAAGAGGAAGCGATTTAATGACATACCTGAAAAGATAGAAATCTCAATGTATCCTTCCTGGTAAAATATTTTATAAATAAATAAAATTAAAAAAATAATGGTTACTGCCTATTATACCAAGGACTGGATGCTGACTGGCTGTTCCGGTTACTAGGAAGATTGACCTCTAATGTTATATACATGTTGTTTTATTGATTTTTTTTTAATGTTATATTTCTTTGCTGCTGAGGGAAATAAAGAAAGAGTGCAGCATAATACTCGCCTCTGTGTCATTAATTAAATCATGACTTTACGTCATGAAATAGTAAAATCTGGTAATTATCAACCAGAGTGCAGAGCTGTATTCCAGGTAATTAATTGTTTATTTTATAGGAAAAGGGGTGGCCCGAAATCTATATTGGCAATCAACACGCCAGCATTACACATGAAAATATTTATTTATAATGCAGAAATGTTCCTTTAAATCATGTAGTTTTCTATAGGCAAAAGGATAAATTAGCAGTGGATAGGCTGTTAGCCGAATGAGATATAGAGAAATTTAAACTACCAAACCTCAAACATATAAATGTGGAATTTCTCACAAAAAAGAAATTAATCCGTTTTTATTATTTATGAAATGTACAAATTCTGCAGCACCATACAATGGGTGGACTAACAGACGTGTATTGAAGGGTTATTCGGGGATTCCTGACAGATATCAGTGTTACAATGTAACTTGCGTTAAATTTGAAAAAAAAATGGTTTGGAAATAGCAAAGTGCTACATGTGCTTATAGCCCTATAACTTTAAAAAAAAAAGCTAAAAACATGTTAATATTGGGCATTTCTAAACTCAGGACAAAATGTAGAAACTATTTAGCATGTGTGTTTTTTGGCAGTTGTAGATTCGTAACAGATTTTGGGGGTCAAAGTTTGAAAAAGTGTGTTTTTTTCAATTACTTCATCATATTTTATAATTTTTTTTATAGTAAATTATATGGTATGATGAAAATAATGGTATCTTTAGAAAGTCCATTTAATGGCGAGAAAAAAACAGTATAATATGTGTGGGTATGGTAAATGAGTAAGAGTTAAATTACAGCTAAACAAAAACTCCACAGAAATGTAAAAAGAGCCTTGGTCCCAGGGGCAAGAATTTTGAAAAACGGCTTGGTCACTAAGGGGTTAAAATATATGCTGATTTTCTAATCTTTCTTAACCCCTTGACGACCGATGACTGTTCAGGACCGTCATCAGAAACATCCCCTTGAGGACCGATAACGGTCCTGAACCGTCATAACGTCTTGGGGGTACTTACGGCGATCAGCGCTCCTCGCGGTCCAGGGGGACTGCCTGTCTGCCCAGGCAGTCTCCCTGCGGCAGATCAGGACCCCGGCGGTCACGTGATCGCTCTATCACATGGCCGCAATAGGTGTCTGTGTATCTGCCTGCAGGGGGACTGTCTGTGCTGACAGGCAGTCTCCCTGCAAGTAGAAAATCATAAACTAAAGAAAAAAAACAATATATGTGTATATATATACGCACATGTAATATATATATATATATATATATATATATACACACATTATATACACACACATATATATATACATATATATATATAATGTCATACTAAGTGTATTTTTATATTTATATATACATATATTAATATAAAAATACACTTATAATTAAATTACACACATATATATAACATATATAACTTTATATATATATATATATATTATTATAAAATATAAATAATACGTATATAAAAATAAATTAAAACATTTAAAAATAATTTTTAATCATTTGAAAAAAAATATATATATATATGAAATTTTATTCTAACGGTATTTTGATATCAACATATATTTATATCAAAATACACTTAGAATAAAATTATATATATATATATATATATATGTATATAAAAAAATATAATACGAAATATACATATACATAATTACATAATTTCATAAATATACACGTAGACTTCAAATATATAAATATGTATATATATTTAAATTCTACGTGCATATTTATGTAATATTATTACATAATTAAGTAATTTTATTGATTGCAATTAGCAGGACCTGCCTGCCAACCCAGGCCGAAAGTCCAGAGAATTTAATTTGCTAGCACTATGTTTAACCCTGTAACTTTCTATGACACCATCAAACCTGTACATAGGGGGTATTGTTTTACTCGGGAGACTTCGCTGAACACAAAAATTAGTCTTTCAAAACAGTAAAACATATCACAGCGATGAGATGGTCAGTGAAAATGAAGTTTTTTGCATTTTTCACACACAAACGGCACTTTCACTGATGATATTATTGCTGTGATAGGTTTTACTGTTCTGAAACACTATTATTTGTGTTCAGCGAAGTCTCCTGAGTATAACAGTACCCCACATGTAGAGGTTTTATAGTGCTTTTGAAAGTTACAGGGTCAAATATAAGGCTTAATTTTTTCATTGAAATGTGTCAGATTTGTAAAGTTGTCTTTGAGAGTGTATGTGTCAGGGTGGCGGTCCGGTGCCCGGGACCCAGACACTGTCCAGGCAGCGGTGCGAGGACCGGGACCCAGTATGCCTGATGTTCAGAGTAGGAGTCACAGTGTGGAGGTGGATTAGCAGTGTCTGGTGTTTGGTAACCGCACGCCCCCTGTTGTTGAGCACCAGCGTTTGTGCAGCCACATACCAAAACCCTGATGCAGCTACAGCGGATCCCAGGAACTAGGAGCTAGGAAATTAAGCAGACCTCCCAGGAGCTGAATAGGGAGGCTCTGCAGCAAGCAATAAAGAATATAGTAAATACAGTGCGAAAAGTGCAAGTGTGATCTAACACCTGAGTGGGGAACCCCTTATACCACTCTTAAATAAACAAAAAGCAATACATACAGTAGGTGGATCACAATTCTGGCAATATCTAAATAAAGAATAAATAAACAGCAATATAGTGTAATATTGTCGGCAACTTAATGGCCAAGATGTAAGTAAAAGTGGTCAGGTACTCACAAACCGAGAGCCAAACAAAGACATGTGGCTCTCATGGGAACAGCATTGGGACTATTTGTAGGATGTCCCTCTCCTTCTGTGGATCTTCTGTTTACCCAAAGAAAATGCAGCTGAAAACACTTACTAGAAAGTAAAGTGTTTATTTCCAATATTGGTGGTAAAAGATAAAAATAAGGAGAGTTTCTCCAATAAAACATATATACTTGAATAAAATAAAAGAGTCCAAGTAAAAGTCTCTACCAAAACGCGTTTCGCCCCGTGCCAGGGGCTTCCTCAGTCGGTAATGCTTCCTTTCTGCTTTCCTGTTCTTTTATATGTATTTCGCCGGTCTTTGGAACGCAAAAGTTCGCGGTGGAACGCACTTCGGGTTTCGTCGTTTCCGGATGTGGGCGTCATCTCCCTCAGCCTGATTCCCGGCATGCAGGGGTCTTGTTGGCATGGCAACGAGCCGGTTGGAACGCACACTGTATGACGTGTGCGTTCCAACTCGGAAACATCGATAATACAGAATAAAGAGCAACATAAGTTCACAATAAGAGCATAATAGCTAATCTCAGGGAACATAAATTTACAATAAAAACATACTAGCTGATCAAAAGGATATTCTCTTACTCCCACCCGTTAATAAAGTGACAAGGTGTTAAATCAGTGATGGCGAACCTTTTTGAGCCCGAGTGCCCAAACCGCAATACATGCCAACATTTTTCTCCTTAAAGTGCCAACACGGCAATTAAACCCAAATACTGAGGTTTAAGTTTAGAAAAAAACAACTCGTACTGTTGTCCGAACTAATAACTTTTGTTTTAAAAGAACACAGAGAGTTCAATGATACAAATTTTAAATAATGATATAAATAGATAAAATTAAGCTTATATTTATTAGTATCTCCAACAAATGCAATACATACACAGTCTGCTGAATACACACACACAAGACTGTTGAATACAGAGACTGATGAATACACACACACACACACACAGACTGCTGAGTACACACACACACACAGACTGCTGAGTACACACACACACAGATTGCTGAGTACACACACACACAGACTGCTGAGTACACACACACACACAGATTGCTGAGTACACACACACAGACTGCTGAATACACACA